AATAAATATAATGCAACGACATCAATCTTTTTTTTCATAACAAAGGAACTCTAACATCTATCCTATGTATGTTCCGTACCTGTAACAAGATCAATAACAGCAATCGTCTGTCTGTCCAGCAGATAGGCGAAGTGTTTTCGTTCTTGCTCCGTCTTCCTGCCCTCATTGATACGGACACTGAGCACGTGAGGATTCACACGCTCAGTACGAACCTCCATAAGATACGAATCATTTTAGTATAAATTAAATTACTTGACATTGTGTAGATCTTGATCTATACTCACGGTTTGTAGTACTCTATCGAGGCCGTACTCCACCACACTAAGTTCGCCAGCACGCTGCAACAGACAGGGTCATCTCAGGCCCCCCTGTAGGGAGGGTCGAGGTGAGCTTGTCGGGGCAACGGCCCCCTAAGCTGGCCTCCACTCCGCCTGTAAAAACAGGCGGGTCGTTGTGGTGGGCGTTTGCAGCCCTGGTGTCTCGTTTGGTGATAATTGCCGCGGCGAGGCGCCGTCCTGAGAGTTATCTCAGGTAGGCTGCCATCAGCCTGCGGCCGTCAGTTTAGATGTTTGTCGGATATGGCGAGTCGATCCTCCAGCCGATATCCGACAGTTGTCGAGTCTAGCTTCTACTCCTCTTCGCGAGAAGGAGGTCTCGCGGCAGGGCGTATTTATCCGGGGGGCGTCTGTGGTACGGGGCCAGTTCCCTTATGTGCGGGAAGCTCGATGCCTCTGACCGCCGGAACATGGCCCGACTCAGGCGGATTATGAAGTCGTCAAGGCTCTCCATGCGGAGGTCCCTGGTGATTGTCGAGTTCCGTACGAACCGAGGCGCGCCTACAAGTGTTCTCAGTGCCAGCGACTGCTGAACGCGCAGGCGACCACGCCCGGTTTCCTTGACTAAGGAATACCAGGCGGGCGCGGCGTACGTCAAGCGCGTTCTGATATACGACTTGTAGACGGCCAACTTGGCTCGCAGTGGGAGATTAGATCGCAGGACAGGACGCAGGAGAGCACGTGCGGCCCTCGTCTTGTTGACGACTTCCTTCACGTGGGGCTGCATTGACAGGCGGCGATCGATAGTCACACCTAGGTACTTGATCGTCGCCGCCCAAGTAAGAGGCTGTCCCATCATGGTAAGGGGCTGCGGTAATGGCCGCATCCCCATAGATATCGCCTGGGTCTTCGTTATATTGACAGAGAGGCGCCACTTGTCCAACCACGGGGGGAGTTGATCCAGCTGCCGCTGCATCTTCGTCGCCGCGTGAGTGGGTGATAGCGAGGTGGTAATGAAGGCAGCATCGTCGGCGTACAGCGCCAGGATCGCGCCCTCCGCCACCGGAATGTCGTCCGTGTACCTGGCGTAGCACACCGGAGACAGGCAACTCCCCTGAGGCACACCGGCTCTGACTAGGCGAGGCGTAGACAGGGTGTCTTCCACCGACACCTGGAACCGCCTGCCTTGTAAAAAGGTGGCCACAATCCTAACTATTCGGCGAGGAGTAGTGGATGTGGCCAGCTTGTACAGTAGACCGGGGTGCCATACGCGGTCGAACGCTTTCTCCATGTCGAGCATCACTGCAACGGCCGACTCTTTTTTGTTAAGAGCTACCGAGAGGACGTGCAGGACCCTCGCGAGCTGGAGCGTGGTAGAGTGCTCCGCTCTGAAGCCGAACTGCTCGACTCGTGGAGTGATGTGAGGCGTCATATGACGCAGAAGAAGTTTCTCGAACACTTTTGAGACGGTGGGTAGCAGCGTGATAGGGCGATAGCTCCCAGGTCTTAGGATGTTCTTCCCCGGCTTCGGTAGCATTATGACTCGGCCGAGCTTCCACTGGGTAGGGAAGTGGCCGGTCCTGAGGACTCCGTTGTACAGCCTCGTCACCGCCGCTATACCGCGAGCGGGGAGGTGACGGAGGGCTTCATTTGTTATTCCATCGGGACCGGGGGCCTTCCGGAGCTTGGTGCGGCGAATCATACGCTGCACTTGGCCGGGGGTGATTACAATGGGGTCTTCCGTGGGGGCTATCGCTTGCCCGAGGTACTCGTCTACTCTCCGTTCAACTTCTTCTGCGTGTAGGGTGTCCTTGGTTGGATTAGGCTGGAACTGTGTCTCCAGGTAGTCAGCGAAGATCTCGGCTCGGTCCGCTGCGCGGTAACGCGGGGTGCCGTCACTCGCTAGCAGGGGCCGGATCGGTTCTGACTTCCTGGAGACTTGGCGGCATAGGCGGTGGATACCCGACCAGTCCTCTCCAGCTCGCTCGATGGTCTTGTACCAGGAGTCTACAGCGTGGTCCTCCAACACCGCTGAGACTCTCTCCGCCAGAGCATTGAGCTGGGACTTGATGGTCGGGCATCGGGTGCGCTGGTATAATCTACGCAGCCTCCTTTTGTCCTCTATCATGTCACGTATCCCGGCAGGCAACTGCGGTCGTTTCCGGTGCGATGTGGTGCTTAGCCGCGAGGCCTCGAGTGCCCGGGTGATAGACTCGGTGAGCTCGAGGGCAAGGCGGTCCACATCGTCGGGGCTGTCCACTCGAAACGACCGCAAGTTCTTCGACAGGTGGTCTGCGAAGATGCGCCAGTCCTGTCTGTGACGCGGGGGCGGGATTTCCCTCCGGATCGGCGCCAGATCGATAGTGACCAGGACCGGTTGGTGATCCGACATCACGTGGTCATCTAGTACGTCGATCGATGGGTCTGTGTTCAGGCCCTGCACTAGAGTGAGGTCGATGACGTCAGGCGCGGCGGTATGTTGGTAGGGGTAGTGCGTTGGGACCTCTGGGCCCATTACTGCATACCCTTCCCTCTCCGCGTCGTTTAGAAGCTTTTGCCCGTTGGCGTCGTCGTGTGTCGAGTTCCATGCCGTGTGCTTGCAATTAAAGTCGCCTGCGATGATGGTGGGGGTTGCCTGGTCTAGGAGTGCGTGGATGTCGCTCTCCTCCAGGCGGCCACCCGGCGGCCTATAAAAGGCAAACACTCGGACAGGACGTCGATCAAGGCACACCTCTACGCCAAGAGCGTAGGCTGAGCGGTGGGAAACTGCTGGTAGCGGTTGATGAATAACCTGCCTTTTGACCAGGGCAGCCAATCCCCTATAGGCTACCCCGGCGGGGGATACCTGGTCACTTCTGTAGACCACGTATCCCGGCATGGTAATAGTGTCCGTTGGTCTGAGGTGCGTCTCTGAGACAAGAGCTACGTCTATTCTATTCTCTGAGAGCAGTACCCGTAGCAGCTTTTGTTTTGGTCCAGTTAGGCCGTTGGCGTTCCAGTGGACCATCCTCAGTGTTCTATCGAACTAAGAGCTTGGTCAGGGCTCTGAGGATGGTCGGGATGATCTCTTTGACTCGGCCTTCCTGGACGGCCGCTAAGATCTCCTGCAGGATCTGTACGACCTCCGCTATGGGTACTGCGTACGCAGTAGCTTGCTCGGACGCTGGGGGTTTGACTTTACTGCCCGTAGCGGACAGGGGGGCTCTCTTTGTCTCTTGACGCGCTGGTATAATCGGGGCAGTCACTGAGGTGGAGGGCGCTGTTTCGATGGTAGATGCGGGAGGAGGGAGGTCTGGATTGACATCAGACCTCACCTGCCTACGCCTTCGCTGCCGGCGCTTCTTGTTCCGGGTCGCTCTGGGTGCGGCCGGATCGTTTGCGGCCGCCATTAGTGAACCGGTTGCATTGGTTTCGCTTTCCATTTGGACCGCTCTGGGAAGGGGAGCCGCGGTAGTTCGCGCTACTGCGCCCGCCTTCTTGTTCCTGGCCTCCTTGATGTAGACCGGGCAGCATGAAGCATTAGCTGGGTGGTCTCCTGCGCAGTTGGCACAGGAGGCCGGCTCTTCCCTCGAACGTGGGCATTCCTTGGCTGCGTGGTGTCCCCCGCATCGCACACACACCTGCTCCCGATGGCAGTTGTGTGAGGAGTGCCGGAACTGCTGGCAGCGGTGGCACTGGGCTGGCCCTTGGCGTCCTCTCCACGCTTCTATCTTAATACCGGCCATGCACTGAAGCTCGGTAACCTCGTAGATGGCCGGGATTGTAGAGGGCGTCCTGCTCAGCTGTGCGAAGTAAACGCAGCCGGGTCTTCCCTGGCGAGCCATGATTGGGCGAACGAACTCGGGAGAGAAACCCAACTCCCGGAGCTCATCGACTATGGCCGCCGGGTCTGCGTTCACTGGCAGGCCTCGGATGGCGATTTTTAGTGGGCGATCTGCCGGGAGCGAGTATGAGAACCACGCCACGTTCTCATCTCTTTCTACTTTGGCGAGGTATGATTGTACCTCGCGGAACTCCCGGTCTGATTTCGGAAGGAATCTAATGCCTTTCCCAAAGGGGCGGGCGTTCGGAGCGAATCCGAGTCGCCTTTTTAGTTCGCGCATATGGCGCGACCACTCTGGGAGCGATTCAACCACTAAGGGCGGATACCTGGCCCTGGATGCAGGCTTGTTGGTGTCGGCGGCCGTGGCGGTGGTACCGTCGGTGGCACCGGCAACACTGGAGGCTGGAGGGCTCACTGACGGCGGTGTGGTGCGGGGCCGTGGAGTCGGCGCATCCGCGTTTGCTGTCGGTGAGCAGGTGGCCGGGATGGGTTTAGGTCTCGTAGGCGGTGACGCAGCCATGACTGCGTATGAGACCTCCATCTCTATGCATGGCGAAATCTTGCATGGAGACGTAAAGGCCGGCGGGCGAGGGGGGGGCGGCTTGGGGGGCGATATAAATCGTTCAGCGGGGTAGGGGGGCGGCGCCGCCGCTAGGCGCGGGGCGGGCCTACCTTTAGCCGGAGCCCAGGTGGCTTGATTGAGGCGCGTGTCCTGGCGCTGCCTCTGCTCCTTGGGCGATGCTGGTCGTCTCCGGGGATCACGGGGCGGAGAGATTGCCGGTGAGGCGGCCAACTCCGGGCTGTCAAAGAAGGCGTCTCCTGTCCCAGCCGGTGTGTGTGGGACGTGGTGACGGCGATGGTGGTGTGTGCACATCGGATCGGGACCCAGACACGTGGGTCAACTGTCCTCCAATCCGCTGCAACATTGCGGCCGCGGCATCCGTGCGACGTCTGGCTGCACCGTGCCAAACCTGGGCCGCGCGCACTGTTCTCTTCCTTTGAGACGCAGCCGCGGGCCGAGGTGGCGATGGTGGGGCCATCACTACACTAGCACTAACACAAACACAATTTGGTTAAAGTTAGGTCCATGCCTTGAAATCACTTAATCTAGGAGTGTCACTGTCACTATTTAGGTCTCTGTCCTTTCACTTAACACAGCCGAACACGCGATCCTAACCGAGCGCCGTGATTGGTTCGCGGCGGCGTCGGTGGTCTCACGACGGAGAGGGGCTCGACCGTTCCGCACTACATATCCGTTGCACAAATCTGCAGCAGCGGAAAGTGGTGGGTGCTGTGGCTTTGCCAACAGGGAGCTGGAAGTGGATCCGGGCGTGTCGTCAATGGCCAGGTGAGAGAACGTTCCTCGACCGACGCTGGCTGGTGACGGCTACGGCTGCTCGCTTCGCAACAGACAGGCTCCACCCACAGCTGCATATATACGCTCCCCTCCACTGGACCATGGTATCTGGAGTATTCATGACTATAAACTTTTAACTAACTTTAACTTTTTGTTAAAATATCATCTGGCATTTTAGCAGTTTATAAATAATCAATTTTAACAGACTTATCTGCTACTGCCTGTCTCACAAAATAGTATCTAACATCTATATGTATAGATCTCCTGTGGTATACTGGATTCAAAACAAGTTTTTATACACTTTGTTAATCATTATACAAAAAATCATTGTTTCTGAATTAACTCCAATTTCAAAAATAAATAGCCTCCTTACTGGCTTCTCACATGGAAATATACTGTGCTTCTGTTGAAAACAAAGCTATATTTCTGTTTTCTACATTCAAAAGAAATTACTAAACCAGACAACTTAAAACAAAATCTAGAAAAAGATTTTTATCATTTGAACCTGAACCCCAACCTGCATCAACATATCCTTGTCTATAACAATTATCCTTTCGTAAAACAAGGCCAAAAGATTTTAGTAACTTTTGAGTACTTTAAAATTCGTTTTAAATGTTTCCAATGAGTTTCATCATATGAGTTCTTAAACTGACTCAAATAACATACACTGTAAGCTAAGTCTGGTCTGGTCAAGACCGATAAATACATAAAATTACCTACCAGTTGTCTACATGGAATTTTCTTATCACAAAAACTGTTCTTAGATTTTTCTATCCTTACATTAACCTCCATAGGAGTTTCCACAGTTTTACAATGTAACATATTAAATCATTTCAGAAAGCTTTCTACATATTGTTCTTGATCAACAGTTATAACATTTTCATACATATTTACTCTTAAGCCTAAACAATGCTTTATTTGGTCTAGATATTTTATTTAAAATTTACTGCTTAAATCTTGTATTAACTGATTAGTTGCCACAATTAGAGAATACAAAAAAGTCATCAACAAACAAATCTATTATCACTTTAACATTTCTTTCAAACTTTATAAATAAACAAGGTTCATACTTAGATTTTAAATGACCTAAAGATTTAAGTGATCATTGTCTTTCTCAAACCATGCATGTGAGGACTGCTCAAGTCCATAGATGGCATATTTATTATTATCATCTTTATACAATACAGGTTTTTCAATATACACAGAATCATTCAAAAATATCATAGGTGGTAGAGCCTAGCTGTGTTCAAGTGATTGCAGCTCGAACATGAGCTGTCTCAACCGGGGAAGTACCACCCTCTCACAGAAGATTGGTGTGAAGTAGTCTTTAATGGCTGCGTTTCGTCCGATGAGTAGGAGTGCCGTTTGTCCTTTTCCTTCTCCCATCCTTTCCTCCCCTTCCCATTTTTCCTCCCCCTCTTCCCTAATCAAGGGTGGTGACACATCCACAACATATCTTATGTATCATGTAGGCCGTCTGCTCGGTTGCCCCCTTTAACATAAAAAAAAAAACATTGAGGAAAGCTATAGTTTAAGCTATAGTACATCAAGATGGTGTATATTTAAACCTAATTTTACAGTTAAAGAAAATAACAATCTTAGAGTAGAATAATATAGCACAGGGGAAGGTCTCATGATAGTCTATGCTGGCTTTCTGTGAAAAACATATTGCCATTAATCTTGAATGATAATGCACCTTACCAACATTATCATACTTTGTTTTTAAACACCCATTTGTACTGAGCCACCATAGAATCACAAGAGTTATCCACAAGTTCTCATTCATCATTTATCTTAAACAATTCTTATTCTTCCTCCATACTTGCTCTCCAATTTACTCTCTTTTCCATGTAAAGCTCCCTCATGTGTAATATTCATTTTAATCTGATCATATGATTTGAAGAAGCTTCTGGAATATATGTGACATAAATTATATCACATTCAATATGTGTGCTATCTGCATTACCTTTTCTTCTTTTTCACTCTGTTCCTACGCTTAAACCTTACACTCAATTGGAATATTAACTGTATTTTAGGTTGGTTACATTATAATGATGTCTCCACTAGTTTTAACTGAGTTTTCTTTACAGGATTGTAAACCCTATAGCCTTTCAAAATAAGTTCTTTATGTTTCATATCCAATTTCTAACGATTTTCTTTACACCTGACAACTTGCATTATGCATTTTGTGTATTATTAAATAAATAATGTTACCAAATTCGGTAAGTAAAGTAGAAAACTCGAAAAATTCGAAAATTTGCTAACCGTCGGAAACTATTAAGCCAAAGAGTGAGACTATATTAGAAAACATGAAGTTAACCACCCCTATATGGTTACGAATTGAATATAGCAAATAAAACTTACCAAATGCGTGTACTATTAATAAAACAAATTCTGTACCTGTTAGACTCATGCCTTAATTTGAATTGCTTGTTTGTTTTAGGTAGCATTAAATTTCTAATGCATTGATTCGTAGTAGGGTGGCCTGAAAAAGAATTTGTCCTACTTCTCGATCGTAATCCAAACTTATATTCTTACATCGAGTTCTGTTCCAAAACCAAACAGTCCTTGTCTTGTCGACGCGATTTGTTGCGAGACTAATGTTATTTATCAGTCATCTCATCATCTGCTTACTCAATCAACCAGTCACCTAAAACACACGCAAGTAATAGTTAAAATAGATTTTAAAACATAATTATTGTTTTATTTTATTTATAACTCTTTATGTAATCAAAAACGTATTACATAAATGTAACTGTGAACGTGAATAGTATCCCATTTCTGAATTTAGGATTCTAAAAAATACTCACAAAAGTATAGTTTTCTTATAAAGCCAGTACTTTTAAATAACAAATAAAACCTTAACTAGAACCAACTAATAATAATCCTAACTCAATACACCTTAAATAAGTTAAATTCAATTTACAAAAATAAAAGTCGTGTTTACAAAGTACTTTCCCGCCTAAAATTCACAAACAAAGCGATATTAGTGATCAGTGTTACCAGAATATTTTTTTCTCGAATCGCCTCGCCGCACTGGAGCGCGCGTGTAACCCCGAGGTAGCCCCATCATGGTGCACAGGTAGTTAGGCGGGAAAGTTGAAATAAATTCATGAGCTTATTATTGGTTTTATGTTAATTAAATTCGTTCTATTATTTTACAATAATAAATAATATTTTAAATACAAATAAAATTCAATTATAATACAAATGGTCAAGATTTTTTTATTTTTATTGATTCCACTTTGTTTTTAAAATAATTTACCTGTTTCGATTAACTTTTTCTGTTTTTTACTAGTTAAACTTGTTGCCTTGTGTTGATGAGTTTTTCTGCTGCAATGAACTTTTAAATCATGCTTATGAGCACGTAAATTCACCCGGCACCATTTACAATATGCCTCTCCTTGACCTGCTAATATCAAATCAAATCGGCTACCTGATTTCAGCGGATAAAATAATATCGCCACTCGGTATTAGGGAGATAGCCCCATTGGCGCTAAATAGCCTCATCTGGCAACACTGAGCGTCACCGCTTCAACATCACTTTGGATGCGTTGGGAATTTAAAGGTTCGGTTCAATTTATAAGTGTGTTTCCTAAATATATTATATAAGTTTTCCATCAACAAAATAAAAACAAAACATTAGCGTTTAGACAAAACAGCCGATGTCGTCTATATAACACTCATTTGATCTGTCAAATAAATATCAATAAATTTGTCGATTGTTTTTCAATGATCTTTAAATTATTTACTGTTTCGGTTCTATTTATAGTTATGATAAATTTTTGGATTAGTTAATGTTTTTGTTGAAGAAAAACTAGAAAATCTTAATTTGTTCATGTTACACTACTATCATATTCAGTTGGTGTTTTTCTGTGGCTCCTGAGTTGTATCACCACGTCGTCAGTCGTGGTCAAAATGAATGAAATCCATTGCCTAGGTCTCAGGTCAACTCATTTATGAATTTCGTCAATTGAAGATCATTAAAAGAGCTATTATTCTTTAATACATATTTTTTGTGTATCTTGAACCGTTTTCACGGCGCACGCAACGGAAGACTTCAAAGATGAAATAATTTCTCCCGTTTTTTACACATTTACCACTACATATATCTTTGCTCCTATTGGTTGTAGCGTGATGTCAGGGATTGCGTTTCTAGCCTCTTTTGGAGAACCCGTCCCAAACCTTACGCTTTTATCTTCAATTCCTACTAAATATATATATTTTTTTAGATCGAATTCCTTGAAGTAGTTAAAGTTCAGTTATGTTCGACTAAATTAACTCAATTTAAGAAAATTTTAAGTTTCATAAATACAGTTCTTCTATATATTTTTCCAAGGTATTTATTACTTACTATAGATTCTTGTAACTGATCTATTTTTATCAAATCTTACAACACCAGGGGTCCTTTAATGCTAATTTTAAACTTAAAATAATACTCATGTATATTTTAAATAAGCTTTTACCTGGTACGTATTGAACTATATATTATTGAAATATATACGTATTGGACTATATATTGCTTAATTCGTCGTTAATTTGAGTAGATTGATTAATGCGGAAATTCTCGGATATTTAGGATAAAAGTAAAAGAGTCGTTTAAACTTTTGTTTTTATTTAAATCTAGATATAATTTTCTCCGAATATATCGACAACACGTCGTTTTGCCTTTTTTTTAAATATTCGTATAATGTATGTACCTATAATGTCATGTTAAACTACATATATCTAGTATATAAACAGCATAAGATGCAACAACTAGCTATGACTAATCACATAAATTAGAAATTTCTAAAAAAATAACAGCAAAAAACTGAACGTTATTTAAAATAACGCAGGATAAAACCTAAAACATAATAAAACACATAGTTACTTCACTGACATAAGTTAACTCCGTCTCTTTGTGCCTTTTATATCATAATATTGTCGCACAAAAACTAAATACAGATAGATTGGGAGCAGATTCTTTTTACTTTTTCCTATATGAACTGTGTC